TCGGGCCTCACGAGAGAGAGAGCCGTCCCATATCTTCAGTCCTTCTGTTTCTTCCCCCTTTAACACTCCCGTCTCTCCTCCTCCAGACCCAGATCAGCACAGATGCTGTCCGTCAGCGGCTCACGCACGTCTCCGCTGATACACACACGCTTTACACCAACCAGAACCTGCGAACCCAGTCCACTCGCTGACCGACCCGAGAGTTCTTTACTTTATTCTGCTCTCCTCACTTTCATAAATGAGCTGTAGTGTCCTGATCACACTAGTAGAAACATCAACACTGAAATCTGGTGTGTGTGTGTGTAGTGTTTGGTTGGCCTGTATGGTCATGTGACTCTGGTGACGGGCTTCGACGTGTGTTTCGGCAGACGCTGAGAGCATCTGTGCGACTCCTTCGGCGGATCTCTCCTTTTTGAACTCGTCATCCGTCACGAGTCAGCCGCGTTTCACTACATCTTAATGAAGTAATCCCCCTCTCGTTTTTCTCCCTGTGGAATGCTCTTGTTCTCTCGCTCGCTCCGCTCGTTCTGGCCTCTGACGGTGATTTGTTTTCTTCTCAGACTCCGGGTTGAGTTCGGCCGTAGTTTATCATTACTCCAACTTCCCTCCGTATCTGCTTTTGTACATCTTTGGTTTTCTGGCCCTCTTTCCGTTCCGGGATATTTATGTCCATGTTGTTTCTGTAGGACACTTTTTACTATTATTTCTATTCTCCCTCGTCAATTATTTACACACACACACACATGTACAGTCAAACCAAAAACTATCCAGACACCAGATATAATTCTACTAGTGTGATCAAGAAACTACAGTTCATTTAAGTAAATGAAGAGAGCAAAATAAAGTAAAGTGTGGCATATTACACCCAAATATTCCTCATCCAGTGACATTAATAATCATTCAGGAGCAGAAGTGACTCCTCCACTTTGAGCTGATGATGTTCTGCTGAAGTGTGTTTTCTGTAAGTGCTAATGCTCTTTTACACACACACTGAACAACATGAAGCATTGCTTGGTCACTGGTTGAGCTAAACTGCTATTATCTAATTGTGGAGTTCAATTTAACAGATATTCAACATAATTCATGTGTGAGAGTCCAACAGAAGGACAGACAAAACCAGTCAAATGATTTATCATATTATATTACCATTTTCTAAACTATAGCGAATAGATAATGTGAGAAATGTTGAAGCTGTGTGAATGTGGGTTTGACTTTATTCAGAAATGTTATATTGATTAGGCTGTAGTTGAAAAAAACATGATCATCAGTGTAATATATGGACCCCCCCCCCCCCACACACACACACACACACACACACACACACTTAATTCTCTTCCCCAGGATTATTAAAGTCTACAAAGGCTCATCACATAACGAATGGCCTCTCCACTTAAACCCTGACGCTGGTCCACTGAACCTTTGAAAACACAGCCTGTCTTCAAGCATTTTTCAGGACGGTCGGTGTAATCCATCTCGGGTCACACGTGTGTGTTTGCGCGATCGGAAGATGCGTGGGGGGGCGCGCTCATAAATCAGCCGTTAAGCAGGAATGAATAATAATGAATTTGTGGAGCTGGACGGGGTCGCTCGGGTCTCGGCGAGGATAAGACTCGATGCGGAGGAGCAGGTTCTCCAGAGAGACGCCATCCGTCAGATCAAAGGTGTGTGTGGGGAAGGTCACCGCTGTCGGCCCGAGACCTGTCCAGCCCGGGAACACTAATAAACAGTTGTGTGTGTGTTTCTCTGTGCCACAGTCGAGCCAGTCCCCTTCAACAGTGTAGACCACAGCAGTTTTACAGTGATAACAGGAGATTACACACAGAGAGTGTTCAGGCTTTACAGCAGGTCTGAAATACAGTTATTGTCCAGATAAAGTTAGTTTGATTGATTCACTTCCTTTGTAAAGATCATGCGTTATTAGCTTAGCGGCTGCTGCTCTCACACACACCACAGTGTTTGAGCTCGAGAACACACACACACACACACACACTGGACAATCTCTGCGCAAACTTCAAAAACACAGAGACGCTGACTGCGCACATGCGCATTAGTGTTCAGTCTCATGAAGTAGCGTGTGTATGACACACTAATTCGTATTTCCATTTTTGGCGTGCTATCAACGCGCATAATCGCTTTTCAGCGTGTTTATGAACGCCGTTGACTTAACGTTATTACTGTATATGATCTACCCGTCCCTAAACCTACCCGTCACTGGGGTTAATAGCGTTTATGACTGTTCCCTTCCCAGACAGCAAACTGACATTGAATCAACGTGGAACCGACGTCTCTCATGACATTGAAACAACGCTGATTTTGCTCATCGAATTAACGTTGAACCAACGTCAGACGCTGCATTCTTCAAAGCTAACTGAAATCGAAAATTGGTTTGCTTTCATAACGTTGAAACAACGCGTTGATTTCAAGTTGATTTCCCGTTAGTTTTGAAAGAATGGCGCGTCTGACGTTGGTTCAACGTTAATTCGATGAGCAAAACAATGTCAGATCAACGTTGTTTCGATGTCATATTTCCACGTTGATTCAATGTCAGTTTGCTATCTGGGTTACCGTCCTAGGAAAAAAAAAGATCGCTCCCCAGATGTAGATCTACATTTCGCTCGGACATTTAACGGCGTGTAGCCTATACGCACACGCGGAATCGCTCGAACATTATTGGCGGAGACATACATGCAAAAGTGATGATGTCATCATGTTATCTTTCTCCACAAGTTGAGCTCGACATATTACTCGTCTGGCCTTAAAAATCTATAATACAGAATGATGTATGGGTTAGGGTTAACCGTAACTCCAGCGTTCATCTCTGCAGAGGAGAAGGCGACCATACACTCGAGTCTCCGGTGGAATCAGTGTTGAAAACTTGTTCAAATCACCAATATTTGTTTTAGGATTGTGTTTTCGAAGTGTTTTATCATGCATTACACAACAGTGCGCAAAAATACTTCTCTTTTCTTCTTAACCCTTCTAATAAAGCGTTTTACATGATCATTTATCACTTTATCCTTCTCCCGAAACCCAAACAAGCCCACATGTGTCTGTTAGCCATGAATGCATGCGTGTGTGTGAGTGTGTTCATCCGCTCTCCAGCTGTGCACGTGTGCCGCTCCAGCGATCCCGACGGCCACTAGAGGTCAATGGTTAACTCCATTTTGGCTCAGAATGGACTGTTTTCTCAAGGGTGACATGTTGAAGATTTAGAGAGAGGCCTTTGCACCGGCGCTGTAATTGTTGGTTAAACCTCCTTTAATCCAAAGGATTTTCTACACAACTGCTAATTTGTCATGGCCACCATTAATATCTGAAAATACAAGACGTTCCTCAATCAAATGAACGAAATAAACGATGCACTCAAAAGGGCTTAAGCAGTGAAAGATAATGAGATGAGACGTGCTTTAACTCTTAGGATAACACTAACATTTGTGTAAGTTATTAAAATGGTCTCTCCGGTAAAGTCAAGCAGTTAAAAGTAGATTAATGTCACAGTCAGTTGTGTTAAATAAATTCAGAATTCAAGGAAGAATCTTTTACATTTATTCTGTTTTCTATGTACATTTTGTTTTATGTACAGCATGTTTTCGACAGTTTTTCGTAACATTTTCAAACCAGTCCGATCACCTTTTTCTCTGCATTTTTTCTTTTTTTAGCTAAAAAGAAAGTTTGACTACAAAACTCAAAGTAATTAAAAAAAAACTAATTTTAAAAAGTCAACCTAGCAAATGTCCTTTAAGGTAAAATAAAAGAAAGTTTTATAATACAGGAAAAATAAATACTATTAACAAGAAAGAAAAAATCTTCTGACTACAAGTGTCCAAATATAAACCTCTCCATACCAACGTTTAATGTAAATCAAAAACAATATAGTACCGAAGATGTTCTGGAATAACTCGAGTTAACGAGTTATTAACGGTGTGATGTCACTCATGAGAAACTGTATGATAACAATCGAGTTCAGCTTGTTGTGTCATATTATCAAAAGTGCTAATTACCCACTTCACTTCACCGATGTTCTGTATCATGGACTTACTGGTAGTTTAGAGACACAAAGATACATAAAAAGGATTTTTGTCAAAATTGCTCTAAGTGGAAAAACTTTGTAAAATATCCCTGAACAAAATCTGCATCAGCATCATGTGTGTGTGTGTGGAGACGGACGATCAGTTCATCCGCAGATCACACACTGGCTTAAAACGAAAACTCAAACAATGACATGGAAAAAATACTATAAAACTGGATTTGTTTCCTTAATTACTTTGCCTTCTTTTTTTAATAAACTCAGCATCTTTGTGCATTAGTCCTCGCGCTGAAAGGGAAGATTTCTCCCGGATCCACAGTCCGTCTTATGCAAACGTGTCTCGCGTCCTATCCTGAGACTCTCGATACTGGACCTGCAAACATGCTTAATTTGTATTTTGGCCTTGTTTCCATTCCAAACATCTAAAAAAAAAAATTAATCAAGATGCATTTACTATAAGTAAAATGACATATATATCAATAAAAATTAAGTGATTTGTTGCTTAAAAACTCTAAATTATCTGTCTCTGCGGTGAAAAAAAAACAAAATTTTTTTTTGCATGTTTTTAGCAAAAATTATCATAATTTTGATTTATATCCCGAGAAAACAAGACACGAGCTGCGTCCGAATCGCGTACTTGTGCACTATTCTACGCCGTTTTGTAGTGTAAATAGTGTGAGTACTGCGTTCACACTGAAACTTCTACAAATAAAAGTGCACTTTAAAGAGCCGGATGATCAAACTATGAACCGAAGTGTGTAGCGCTGGCCACTTCACACACTCGACTGCAGCGCGGAGGGGGCGGGGCTAGCAGCCTGCGGTGTCGAAGATCATACACTACACGCTTGAGCACATAGTGCACATGTACAGAGTGTATAAGTGTGGACACAGCTATGACATTTTACTCAATAGTTTTTGGATATTTGGACTGGAAACAAGACACAAATACTGAGTAAGAAAAGCGTTTCTCGCAGTGTGTCCTCCGCTGTTTACGGCACGAGTCAGCCTGGATATATAAAAGATATAAATATGCATAAAGCGCCGTCCTCCACGTTGGGGATCCAGTTAGCTGGCTTCGTTCCAGTCGGGCATGACGTGCACGGCGTGGTACTGGTGCGGGGAGAGTGTGTGCGCGTGTGTGTACAAGTACTCGTTTCCAGCGGGCGACTGGATGCCCGCGCTCGGACTGCACTGGCGCCCCAGTGGCTGATGGGACATGGAGCTCTGGTACATGGAGTGGGCGTCGCCCAGCTGCGGGGAGGCGTGGCCTGAGACGCCACTCAGCCGGGACACCAGCGGGCCGGAGGTGAAGTGGGCGGAGAAGTGCTGGTAGGGCTGGTGCATGCCGGCGTACGGGGACACGCCCGTCCAGGTGTTGCAGCTGATGTCCTCCAGGCTCGGCACGGGCTCGCTGGACTGAGACGAGCTGGCGTACATGCAGGCCTGGCGCTGACCCGACTCGGGCCTGTAGGGGGCGCCGCTGAGACCCAGGGCCTGCGAGTAGCTCACGGGCCGGTAGTAGTGATCGTCTTCGCTGGATGAACTTTCCACGTAGCTCTTCTTGTACGAGTGCTCTCCCGCGGGACAGTCGTCCTCAGCTGCACACACACAAACATGGAAATTAATTCGGAAGTAACAAGCCAATCAAACGGGACTAAATCACTGCGATTAGGTTTGCCACCGTCAAAGCTAATCGCAATCATAACCGAAACGGTGTTCATTAAAGTCCCCCTGTGGTGAAAATCTAGCTTTGTTTATATGCCAATGTGGAGTTTTTAATACGCTTTAACACACACCAAGTGGACAGCGTTGCTGAGTATTTCCTCCTTAAAACCAAAGACAGTCTCAAAAACACGCTTTGAAATCGCTGGTGTTTCCGACGGATCAGATCAACCAGAGGATCTCTGAGTGGGTGAATGAGTGGAGGCGGGGCTCATCTGCATATTCATAGAGCCACGCATACTAAATGAGGCGAGGGTGTCGAGTTACATTCAAGATGTTTTAAGGCATGAAGAATCTTTTTTCTATACGGAAAAAGTATAAATATGCAATTTTGGTGAGTTTTAAGGGATTAAATGGTCGACTGGGGGACTAAAGTTTTCAGAAGTGAAATGGATCTTTTTTTCCTCCCCTCCCCTTTACGTGTACATGTGTCATTCGTCCATATGCAACTATGTAGTGCCCTGTAAAGTGGACCCACCTTTCCTCTTGATGCAGTGGTAGTCCTGCCGGTGTTCGTGGGCCAGCGGGTAAGCGGACTGGGCCTGGGTCGAGCTCGACACCCCGTTCTCACAGTACTGGGAGCTCATGGCCCCGGGAGCGGACAGAACCTGGACGTCTCCGCCGAACGGACTGGCGCTGGTGCCGACCCGCTGGCGGACCGTACTGCGAGGAACCACCGGATACTCCTTAGTGCTTCACAGGACAGAGAAACCCATGGCATTCATTTACATGCTTTTCTTTCAGTCAAGCTCTCGAAACCATTCACTGATGACTAACCACATAATCTCTTCCCCATCTGCCACCGACGGGAGCTTTTTCATGTTAATTAATCTATGAAAGATGCATTAATTCCTTGACGGTGTCTTTTGAAGCACTGACCTGGTTTCCCGAGTGTCCGAGTTTAAGTCAGAGCAGACCTGCTTCGTCTCAGCGCTCGACAGCGAGGACAGATAGCATATCAGCACCTTTGACTTCGGCACCATGCGGGAGCTTTCTTCATTCTCATTGTATAGTTTATGATACATTGCTTTGCTTCGCTGTCTTTTTAACAAGTTGTCACTTCCTCACACCGCAAACATGCCTTTCTTTGTATTTTTGACTTGTTTCCAGTCCAAATATCTAAACATTCTTGAGTCAAGATGCATTTGAGTAAAGATATCTGGAGAATGAAGAGATTTGTTGCTTAAAAACAAAAAACTCCAGTGGGGTCAGAAAAATAATCTTAACCCTTGTGCTGCATTAGATTTTTAACACCGTTGAGTGCATTAAGGACCAAAAATGGCCACATATTAAACATTGCCTAAAATATTATATATTATTATTATTTTCCACTTTTACCAAGTTAAATCTTTTAACCAGCATCAGTCCTCATCATAACTACCAAAAATGTATTCAATTTCAGGATTTTAACCCTTTAATTACCAGTTTTGTTTGCGAAACCATCGATTTGTATAAGAGGAAAAAACACAAAAATTCAATTATTTTCAATAAACTAAATGCAAAGAGAAAACTTTAGATTTGGATTATCACAGTCCCACTTTGCAAAAAATCCCACTTAGCGCGTTAGAGACCAAAAATGGCCACCTATTAAACATTGCCTATTGCCTAAAATAAGGTGCATTTCCACCCATAGGGAATAAATATGTAGTGACGTCATCTGGTGGAATACACTATATAATGCAAATATAATGCTTTTGCTTCAAAATGAAAGGATGTTTGTGCAAAAATCATGTTTCATGTATTACTGACAGCCTCAGATTTAAACAACGTTTTAATGGGTTTCAATGGGCCATTTTTGGTCTTTATGGTGCTGAGTGTTACTATTTGATCTACACAGTGTGTGTTATACATATTTTGCAAAATGGGATCACATTTTTTACATGTATCCAAAAAGTCACAATTTTGCCAAATTTCATACCATTTGCATTAGAACAGCCAAAATGGTCAAAGAAATTAAACTGCAAAAGACCAAAAATGTCCCTAATGCAGCATAAGGGTTAAATCAAACAGAAACAAGTTTATTTTTACTCCACTGGCAGATAATTTCACTTTTTTTTTTTTTTTTTTTAGCAAAAACTTAATTTTGATCTATTTTCCCAGAAAACAAGACTACTCACCTAGTAAATGCATCTTGATTTAAGAATTTTTAGATATTTGGACTGGAAACAAGACACAAATACCGAGTAAGAAAGGCATTTTGCAGTGCTCTTGTAAGTCAAAGCGTCTGCAGAATGAATAACTGAGAATAAAGTTGTGTACCGGATTCAGAAGGAGAACCGACAGGCTTTAGTTGGGTCTTAAAGTCTTCAGGTCATTATCTGGAAACTCAATCGAAGGCTCTCGTGGGACATTACTCAGTTCTTGTTTCAAAGCAACAACAGACCGAGTTAACTACGGCATGGAAAGAGCGGGGACATTCTTTCCGAGTGCATTATGAAGTCTGTCATTTTACAGTGGACAACGCCTGTGTCGGCTGCCGGACGGCCAGATTCTCTGCTTTGAAAGTGTGTTTTTCCACACTGTGTGCAGCAGTCCTCTGGAGGAAAGGAGAGCGCGAGCCGTGTGGTCTTTCCCTCCACTGCACCAAATGTCCAGCCACAGGCCCGGCCGTGGGTCTCGAGACGCCGGCGTGAGCGACCGCCAGTGTCCCGTCAGCGGAGAGCCGTCTCTGCTCAGTGTCTGCGCTGGCCGAGTGTTTGTGATTAACACGACCCTGTTTAGTTTAGTTTTAATCAGTTCTCTGTTATCTGTGAGAGAACCATGTCGAGAGCGAGCTTCTAATTTGGCTTCAGGACTTCAGCACTGCAAAAAAGGGCTTTTCTCACTCAGTATTTTTGTCTCGTTTCCAGTCCAAATTTTAAAAAAATTATTGAATCAAGATGCATTTACTAAAGTAGTAAAATGTCTTGTTTTCTGGGGAAATAAATCTAAGTTTTGCTTAAAACAAGCTACATTATCTACCAATGGGGTAAAAAAAGTTGTTGTATTTTACTCTAGTAAATGCATCTCTATTTAAGAATGTTTCGAGGTTTGGACTGGATTTTTGCAGTGATACTCAAAGTTGGTCTGTAATGAAAGCTTGTTTCCACCATGAAACAGTTCTGACTCTCTCCCCTCAGTCATTTTCTTGCAGTTCTCAGAATAGTTTGATCTAAACTGAGAATTTCAATTGTCTTTTCCCTTATTTTTTATTCGGTGGCAGAAACGTCTTCTGTAAGTGTGTGTTCTCCTCCAACACAACACAGCGGGTCAGAGTTAGATCTGATATTACGAGTGTTGATATCACAGGCTGGAGGTGTAGAAGTGTCCCGGTTTGTGTATCTTGTATCAAACTGAAGAGTTTATATGGAATGACTTCTATCCACCAAAGCAAGCGGCGTAAATGCTGACATAGAGACCACTATCCCTCTAATGTGGAAGAACACACAACTTTTACATCAAAACATGATCAGTTTTCTGTCCTTTAATGATTCAGAGACGGCGATCATGCTGGTGTCTGTGAGACATTACTGCAACTCTCTGAATGTGTGTGTGTGATATAGAGCAGTAATCTGCGTAGGCATTGTGTAGTGTGTGTTAGGGGTCTTACCTGTGCGTGCTATGGTTTACTTTACTGTTGTTCAGCACATTGTTCAATAGTGCTTTATAAACCAACTAATCAAAAACAAATATTTGTCATGCTAAATCCCCAATGCTTTGACCAAAAGTAATAATGATTCAGTGCTCGATTGCAAGTTCTTGCTGTTTAATATTAACTAATATTTGAATATTTTGAACGTTTTCTACACTTGAAAGTTCAGAATAGTTTGTGTGACGCGGCGAAAGCTCTGATTATTGTGTGTATAGTTGATTATGATTGTGTGAGATTGTGGCAGGTTTGGCCTCACCTCTGCATTCGGGACATGCGATGCAACTCCATGTCGTCGCTTCCTCGAAAGCCCTTCGCGAAGGGATTGTTCTCGATCTTCAGCTGTGTGATCTGCAACACACACACACACACACACACACACACACACACTGCTTGAGTCTTTGAGTCTTTTCATCCATTAACCAGCAATGAGATGCTCCGGCTGATCTGAACTGCAGATCTCTGTCATTGATGAGCTCAGGAAACTGAGAAGGACGTCTCATGGAAAACCCAACAGATGATTTATACATGATTGTCCTGAGTTTCTGTTAATGGGGGAATCCTCTGTAACGACCATAAACATTAAACATTAAACCACTCGAATGTCCTCACTCGGGACTTTGAAGGCTTTTCCAACTGGATGTGAGATGAAGGATGATGATGACCGGTGGTTTAGTTTTCTGATGATGGCGAACAGAAACGTGTGTGTGTGTGTGTGTGTGTGTGTGTGTGTGTGTGTCATTTGTCTTTGCATAAATATGAACATGTCTAATAATTCCACATGTGAAGCACCAATCATTAATATTAATCCTGTCATAGTCTGAGATATTAAAGAAAATGTCAAAAGTCAACGTCATGAATTTAGCCTTTTGTGGATAGTGATCATCATTTAAAAACAAAGTGTTCGGCAAAACTTTACAGGTTCATTAGTTAACATTAGCTATTAACATGAATGAGCAATACTTTTGTTATTGTATAATTAATCTTTGTTAACGTTTGTTAATTAAAATACCGCTGTTCATTGTTAGATCACAGTGCATTAACTAATGTTAACAAATACAACCTTTGATTTCAATAACGTAGTAAATCTTCAAATTAATATTAACTAAGTTTAATAAATGCTTTAGAAGTATTGCTCATTCTATAGTTCTTGTTAACAAAGGTAGTTTACTAATGAACCTTTTTGTAAAGTGTTACTATTATCATTGTGATAATGTGATAATAATATTTGAGAGATTACAAAATCTGTGAAACTGAATAAAAGACCGAACATAAAATGAAAAATCCTTACACAAGTGCATGAAACACAAAAGTTGTCAAGCATTTGCAAATAAAGTCAAACTGGCAAATCTACCAAATAAGCCACGTGACCCCCCCCCCCCCCCCCCTCTCTCTCTCTCTGACTGTTGTGCTGTGTTTCCTAACAGGACTTGATCTTTGACATTGCTTTGGCTCTCACTAGTAAAAATGTTTGAGCTTGTGTAAACCCTCTGTGCGCTTGGCAGACTTCACAGAATTGAAGAGTTTTGCAAATTACACTTTGATGTCCTTAATGTGCACCTTTAATTAATAAGAGTGCAAAAAGAAAACCTGGAGATTTGCAGCGATGAGCGCGACCAGCAATCGCTTAACGTCGCTTTATGACGCTGTACCTGTTGTTTTGTCTTTATATTCTTTTTTTCCTCTTAATTTTCACTGCTCAATTTGATTAACCAAAGTACAGATTATTGCATCTCGAAAAAGCAAGGCAGTCCGTGATATTAGCAGAATATGGCGTTTGTTTGTGTCGCGTGCACTGCACTTCTGCTGGGGAATATGTGCAGATCTGCGCGGGTAAATCGTGTTTTGTAAGTTGTTGCTCATGCTCAAAAATCTGGTGCACACATTGTTTAGCTGCAATCTGAAGACCCAAAAGGTTATTCAAAATCTATTATTTTTAATGACATACAGGTGCACGTGCTTTACTCTTCTAAGGTGAGTAAAATTGCTTTCTTAAAAAAAATATGTTTAAAGATGTCGGCTAGATTAACACTTTTATTTAGGCTATGTAAATAATTTATACTTCTTCCGTGTGTATTAAAAACCAACGTTTTTGGCTTTATGTTGCTTTATGTTAAAAGCGAAACACCAGAAACTTCAACACGTCAAACAAACGCCAGTTTTACACCAATCGCAATCAATGAATAATACAGGTCTGAATTAAATATGTTCTCACAAGATCCAGATGAGAGTTAGAAACACCTGAAGCAAGTTTCCATCTCTGCCATATCCCAGTATTTGCGATCGAGCGCAATCTCGGCGTCATTAATGATGATTATTATGTGATTGCAGCGCTGATGCAACTAGTGTGACAAACACATGCATTCATATCATAAGCACATAACGCCATGATGTATTAAGGACGTGTTGTATCTCTTTATTTAGTTTATCTGTGCATTCTTTCCGTATCTGTATTTTCCAGAGAATGACATTCACGAGGTATAAAGCCAAAGGTCTTGGTTGGGAGCGGAACTATTAAACAGTCGGATTTATAATTCACGAATGCAAATATTCCGAGAACCACAACAGCTGACCAAAAATAAATAAATAAATCACGTTTTCATAAAAACATTTAGTGGCGACATAAACATTTCACATTTTGGAGTTTTCTAAGTTAGAATATTTAGTCTGGATATAATAGTACACGAGTTACTTTATTAACTTCATGAACACAGTCGGAATCTCGTGCATGAGCTTGGGTTTTGGACTTATTTAATATATAATTCAATAATATATAATGATTCGTTAGCCTACATAAATTATTTTAATATTAATTAGTATAATAATAATAATTCCCAGTTCAATCTAGCAACAATATATATTTTTTTGTTGATAGCCTAGCTGAGCAATCTAAGTGTTTTCGGGCCAATCTCAAAGTTAGGCGCGTAATATGACCAATCAGGAATCAAGCTCACACAGCTGACCTGAAGCAGACAATTCTATACTAATTCAATAATTCACACACTCAAAAAAAAAAAAAACGAATCTATTTTCTAACTTCATGCTTAGAGTGTTTAATGATCTCATGATAACGATGTTGGACCCAGTGCCTATACCTTGTGGTTCTGGTAAGAGGTGACTGCGATGAAGGCCGTCTCGGGGAACACGTGAGTGCAGAACGCGGTGTTTTTGGACCCAAATCCATTATTTTCATCTGCCTTCACGATGTGGATCCTGGGCTGATATTTATGCATGGAATTCAGGATGATCTGGAAAGAAAATAGAGCTTAAATATGACGACCATATTTAACAGATCTTCTTCGGCCTAATAATAAAGACACTTCATTTAAATTATGCTAAATGATTAATGTCATTGCGAAAGAAGAACGATTATACATTGCTATGAACGTTTTTCTTCTTTCCTGCGTTTTTTAAGCGCATTAATTTTTCAGAAACCCTTTGAGATCAGTAATAATCTAATAATCTCCGACTGTCGCACTTAAACCCGACAACCCGCTTTATTTCGACAACCCTAAATGTGTGTCGGACTTAGTTACAGATTATTTGCGTCTCGGATTTTACAGTAATATATGCACACACAGTTTTGTTTAACGCTTGTCCGGCTACTTGTTGTTCAAACGAAAGTTTAAGAACCAGAGCTCATATAGTAGCACTTTTACAACAGAATACTGCTTTTGTTCAAGTTCTTTTCGGTTCTGTGGCCAGTTCTTTTCCAAGTCAAGTGTGTGTGTGTGTGTGTGTGTGTGTGTGTGTGTGTGTGTGTGTGTGTGTGTGTGTGTGTGTGTGTGTGTGTGTGTGTGTGTGTGTGTGTAATGTGGGCCACTTTGTCTAAACTTTGCAATCTAGATGTGCATGCCAAGTTTAAACACACACACACACACACATTCCTCTTTTCCATTTTCATGCGTTTGCTCCTTGCATGCATTCTCCAAACAACTGCAGCGTTTCTGCTTTGATCAGTGACATCAGTCCATCGCTGTGTGTGTGTGTGTGTGTGTGTGTCCCTCTGAGCCGCTTTTGGCTCGAATCAGCACCGAGACTTGGAGAGCACACTCGCTGTAAACATTAAACATGGCTCTCAGCTGAGGATATTGCTTTTGCTCCAGATCGACAAGATGATTTATTGCAAAAAAGAAAAGAAAAATGCATTGCTTTAAAATGTGATGTCAAAATAAAAGTCTTGAGCATACTAAAAGGCCATAATAAAACAGCGTATAACATCAGTAAGTCTGCATGGACAGCGGGGTTGGACCACCCAGTGGCGAGTGTGTTCTGCCGGTGTCCGCGTCTCCAGCGCTAGCGATAGTCTAATGACCGTGAGCGATCGCCGAGGGCAGTGTGTGTTCCTCCACGCTTTCATGTTCCCGACATCACACACTCCGAAACCCTGCAGATTAACAGCCGTTGTGTTCCTCCGTCCATCACTCATCACACACTGTCTTCACATATAAACAGTTTGAAGCACAGTTATCCAAACTCTGATATTTCTGTATGGCTGCGAGAGGAAGGGTGTGTGTGTGTGTGTGTGTATTGATGAATGAGACTAAAATGATCAAAGCCAAAGCTAAGCAAGCCTTGAACTTGGAAAATTCGGACTGTGTTCTGTTGGGTAAGTCAGTGACCCACTTGGGAATTATTGCGAGTTTCTTTCAGACATCTTTATCTCATCATTGGAGTCTAATTAAGACGGAGTTTGGAAATATTGGCTGTTTTTATGTATTTCCTAACAGGTTCCAGCTTATAGCGTCGCATGTTCAGCCCTGCTTCTGAGACTATAATTATGAATAGGTCTGAAATTATTTCAACCACCTGGAACAACAACCGATAGATTGTTATTTTGGTCGAGAAGCCGTACTTCATTTATAAATCCCAGGGTGCTCTTTCTGCAAAGGGGCTCGCCAAGAACCACTGCAACCAATCAAAAATACATTCAGGACAGAAATTTACAACTCGACTCACATTCCAGCAAGGCTCCGATTTCATTCTGCCAGCTGAGGTTTGGCAGAAGAGCAAACCTGATCGACTAAACAGCACAACATGAGGGACTCCTCGCAATCTGAGAAATGTTGATTCACAGGCTTCAGATTATCACTGTGAGTTTGAGCTGGTGTTTCTTTGCGTAAACTGAAAGATCTGAACTGATCGAGATTGCGGGTACCTGGAGAAAATTGAATTTCTTTTAGCAGTTTACGCAGCGTAAATTAGTAATCTGCAGTTCGGTGTCCACATCTGAGGCGCTCCTGTTGTCTCAATTATCATGACTGGATTTAAGATGTGTTTCGGTTATTACTCGGATCTGGCGTTTGTCAGCGGCACCTTTGCGGATCTGTGTTTCCTGAGCTCGAGCTATCGTTCAATTCACACGCAAAACGCTACCTAAAGACCCGAAGCCTCGCCTGAGGGAATCGGGAGCGGGTTGCGTGATTAGTTGGTGCAACACTGACAACTGGTTGTAGCCCACACTGCAAAAATGCTTTTCTCACTCAGTATTTTTGTCTTGTTTCAAGTCCAAATATCTAAAAATTCTTAAATCAAGAAAAGTAGTAAAATGCCATACGATAGGCTATTATGTCTTAGAAAAAAAAATTGAGTGAGTTTTTTTTTTTTAACAGGCTAAATGATCTCCCAATGGGGTAAAAAAAACAAAAAAACGAACCCAATTGGCAGATAATTTAGCCATTTTTTTTTGGTGCTTTTTTTATTTAGGCCTACATCTCCAGAAAACAAGACTTAATATTGAATGGCATTTTACTCATCTAGTAAATTTTTATATATATTCTGGACTGGAAACGAGTCAAGCGTTTTTACTTAAAAAAAGTGTAGTTACAATTTATCTTCTGGCGAAGTACCAAATAAAAAACATTTAAACACAGAAAAGCATTTTTTCCAGTGAATCATGTAGAAATAGCTTTTTACAAAATTCAATCCAACATGATTTTATCCATAATATGTTTGCTGGAAAAGTTAATGTTAGTTTCAAAGCAAATCCATATAAAACACATATTGGCTCACATGTCCGAAGGGGTCGAGGTGGTTGTTGGTCAGCTTGAGCTTCTGGAAGGACACCAGCTGCCTCATCCAGTGCGCGCCGGTGGCCGGAGAGTCCGGGTGCACATACAGTCTCCCCGGCATCGCAGGCTCGGCTTTCCCCGTCACAGACCTGCCGACACACGGGCAACAGATGGATTTTTGATATTGTTTGAGATTCTATTGATCTGATCTTGCATTAAGTACAAGGAGGATTTCATTAAAGGACATGGACATGTTTTCCTTTATTGAAATCGAAATCCAGAGTCGTAGTGCAAAACGGAGCTTCAGTGTAAAAACACGCGGACTTTCCTTCTCTTTTATAGCGCTTTACACAACACACATCGTTTCAAAGCAGTTTAAAAAAAAAAGCATGAGTCCATTACAATATGCAGTGACCCTCCAAGTTATGGATTTCAGAAATGTACATAAAATCACACATTTACGAACTATTATGTCAACTACTGTTTTCTCTCATGTGATATAGGTTTGAGATTCTGTTGATCCAGTCATGCATTAAGTACAAGGATGATTTCATTAAAACTAAAAGATGTTTTGTTCCCTGAACATGTGTTTTCTTTATTGAAATCGAAACTTGTCAGAATGTGATCGGCCTCCGTTTATAACGCATCGCTGCCTTGTGTGTTGGGCATAATGTGTTTCAAAGCCCGGTTTATTTGGTTAATGGCTAAGATGATGGTTGATCAAGAGGGTCGTTAGTTCCAGAACATGCACTGAACTGGTAATTATCAGAGATGTGGGCCTGTGGACGTCCTCCCTCAACGACCTCAACTATTCAAACCACTGACCCTGAAAAAGGGGCATAAAACAAGTAGCATAATACGCTGTTTTCTGTCGATGCAGATGCAATCGTATTGTAATAAGGCTATTTTTCTTTAATGCACACGTTAATAAAGTTAGTATAGACTTCCAATTGTTTAAAATTGACATGAACAAACATATTTGTGTAAACATTTAGAAATCGCCTTATTTTCTTAGTCTCTGCATCATGAATAAAGACCATGAATGAGTCTAATTTAATTATTTAATTAAAAGGGATATGTGACAGTTTTGGCAAGTCTTGCCCGGAACTTTTGGGACGCTTATCGTATGATGAGAAATGGACAATCACAGTCAAAGCAACCGTGAGAACTTTAAACGTAAGCCATCTATTTGAGCAAAGTAAATAATAACCTGCACCAGTGACATTAACTGTGAATAAAACAATTGATGACTCACGAACCATTTGTTATCGGCGAATTTATAGCGGTGGTCATCGGCCGGCACGACATCCATCAGAAGAATGTATTTGGTTTTGGGGTTCAACCCGGTGACCTTCACTTTGAAGCTGGGAAACATCCGCCTGTGGACGAAAATGTGGCACCATTACAGCAGGAACCGCTTTTTCAAATCATTATAACATTCGAAATTATAATAATTTAATATAGCCTGTTTAATGTAGCTGTATTTGTTACCGGAGCAAACAAAAAAAGCTCTGGCTAAATCGATCATTTTATGCGTGTGTTTTATAGACATATTTTGACACGCAACAACTTTCCGCTAATCTCATTCCTGTCACTGGTTTAGACAAATCGCACGAGTTCGTGAAAAAGCCACCTCGTCAAATACGGACGAATAGGTCGTTAGATAGCGTTGGCTGGACACACTTTGGTTAGTAGCTTATATCTGATTCAGATTCATTTTGTTTTACATGGGCCTATATATTCAACGCTTAAAGCACAGAATAAAACGAACATTTAAGGACAAGAAAAAAAGAGATATTAGATTAATTAAAACTGTAAAATGTGTGCATATTTGTGAGAAGAGAATATGCTTTCACACGTGAAGCACGGTTTTACTTTAAGAAAAACGCGTATTAAAATGCACAAAAGTAGCCTATTGAGCAGTTTGTGGCGATTTATCGAGTGTTTAATACTCGAGATAGAGAAGGATTTTTCCCCAGTAAGCTGACTAGGAAATGTCGTTAGTGCAAAAGCCTCTTGTTCAGCTCTATGCAGAGAGAAAACCATAAACTGCACGGTTTTTTAAAAGCTGCCGCGATTGGAATAATACATGAGAAGAACAAGACAATTTGCTGTTACGTATCAACTTAACCTGGCCTTTTAATCTCACACAGATCATGATGTTAAACTGAGGAGTTCATGCACAGACTTCAGCTTTAAACCCGCGTGTGATTTCTGAGGAAACTTCACTGTTTTTGACCAAGCAGAAGTTTTATCAATAAAACAAATGAAACGTAACTTTACATGTTCAATATGTTTTTAAAACTCAGCGATTAGAGAAACTTCACACTGCTGCTTTAAACAATAATACAGCTACATTTATCATTCACAAACAATTAATTCCAATTATAACCTTACAAAGCCTTAATTTTATATTTCAGACGCATTAATGTGCGATGATACCATTTATTTTAAAATACTCTTATAGTTTTAGAGAAAGATCCGAGTTTTTGCTAATCATAACATTAGTGGAAAAATATGCATCAATAATACAAATGATGGATGTTTCCAGCTCGCAACTTGCATAAAAACTAAAAAACATTGCTTATTGAAGTTCGGGAATTAGCCTTTACTCAGACTGCAACTTTCAAAACACATTCTGAACAAAACAATAATCAAAATAAGTTTGGATTAAAAAAATGCAATACATCGAAATAAATCGCTAAAATAATGGCTAGTTGTTGTACAAACATGCATTTTATGTAATTAACCAAGTCTGCGCCGTTAAAAATTACATAGAAAATGTATAATTAATTATATTTCAATAAACTGACCATTGCATGGAGAAATGTATAGGAATAGGCATAATGAATTATATCGAATTATATTATTAATTATTGGATGATAATAATAATTAGGCCTAGTAGGCTATTATAATGATCAGATATTTGTGCATTTTGAGGTTCTCGTCGATGAAAGACTGGTCTCTTACCTCCCTGCTTTGGTGATGATCATCTCAGTTCCCACTTCATGAAACTTTGCCCACAACTCTCGCTCGTGCAAGTACACCTTTATCCCCTCCATTCCCTTTCAAACACAGATGCAGAGAGTGAACACATGCATTAGCGAGGCTAACGCGAAACTCAATGCATCGACATGCACGAGGAGAAAAAGTTGTTCAGCTTTAAAAAAAAAAAAAAAATGAGCAGAATTCAGTTTAAACTCCAAGATTAAGTTCGTAGAACTTTAGATTTTATTCTGAACAAGCATTTTAAAAATTGAGTAAGCTCATTGCTTGATGAAAATGTGTTATTATTTTCGAATGATAGCAAAGAGAAAACATTTTCATAAATATGTCCTGCTAAATGCACAGCCTGACACACGCCTTCATTACAGTCACAGCTAGTTGCAAAATGTGTTTTGGGGTAAAAGTTTACAAAGGTTCATTAGTGAACTACATTAGTTAACATGAACTAAGAATGAGCAATACGTCTTCAGAATTTATTAATCTTATATTAATTTACTAATACGTTATAAAAAGCAAAGGTTGTATTTGTTAACATTAGTTACTGCACTGTGACAAACTAACATGAACAAACGATGAATAGCTGTATTTTTATTAACTAATAATAACACTGATTAATTAATAAATACTGTAACAGATGTGTATTGCTCATGGTTAGTCCAGTAAAGTGTTTCCTGTTTTTGTTATATTATGCATGAACTCGTGTAGATGATGCAACTTTGATATTATGCCTCTTCGATCACCTGAGCAACAGTAAGTTATTAAATTACTGCTGTATTAATTTTCTGGTCGACAGTTACCAGCAACTATAGCGTGTTCGTCACACACACACACACACACACACACCACACACACACACACACACACACCACACACACACACACACACACACACACACACACACACACACACCACACACACACACACTTAGAGAACTACATGTGCACATTCCACAGACCTCCATTGTGTTATAGCCAAATACTGAGACCTGACCTGACAGAAAACTTCTGCAGTTTTACGTTTAGAAAATACGTTATATTTTCTTGTAAGTTGTACTTGACCCTGTTTTAATTCTCGAATTGTTACCACCTCATTTTGATACGTCACTGAAAAAAACAATAAACAAATGTTTAAAAAAAAGAAAATACGTCATATTGTTTTATAAATAAGGACGATTCCAAAATAGTTTTATCTCTGACAGATTTAGCTGACTTCTAAGTACAAATTTGAAGCCAAAATATGGTTAATCTCACACACAGACACACACACACACACACACACACACGCACACAGTAGCTGTTACCTGTTGAATGTATGTTGTCTGTGAGGATGGGGATTTGCTCGATGCTCCGTTCTGTTTCTCTGATTTACCCTCGGTTTGTAAATCTTTTGATTCGGAGTCACTCGGAGAGTTCTGGAGCCGAAATGTGTCTTCGCTGTCCGCCATGTCTGAACTCTTCCAGCGAGGCCTGAGGACACACACACACACACACGCCATCAGCTCGTCTACTCTCACACACACGCGTTTGTGTAGTTCAGCACGTTTTGCAGCACTTCAATAAATGATAACAATGACATAAACTCGTATTGAATCTCTCTTTTATGATCACGAAATAAACTAGTCACAAAACTAACAATGCATTGCCAAATCTGCACAAAAATATCCGATGTTTACGAAGCAGTCTTCATTAAAACAGTCTTTAAATTCTCATTAAAACTCATATGCTGCTACAAAAACATCATTTTGAAAAGTCTGCTCATATAACTCATCGCAACATTCACACTTTAATACACATTACATACATAATGCATACGAATTTAGCTAAGGTATAAGGTGTCCGTGTTACACTCTAATTATGCATTTACGTACTGAGTAGCCTAATAACGATTAACTGGTACTTACTATTGAGTTAGGATTAACCCTTTATTTTGAGGTGTCTTTGTTACACTGTAATTATACATTTCAGTAACACTAATTGGCTATAGGGTTAGGATTCGGGTTTGATTTAGGGTTAGTTGCATGTACTTATGCATAATTAATAGTTAGTACATGTAACATATGTAACAATGACACTGTAAAATAAAGTGTAACCGGATTTGGTTTAGGAGTATTTGCGTGTATTTATGCATAATTTACTGTTATGTAACAAGGACACTGTAAAATAAAGTGTAACCTAACTTTTTAAACAATGCAGTTCTGTTCACATTGTCTTGCTCGATGCGTCTGAACTCAATGAATGGATCAGGAGATATAAAATCATTGCACGGGTATTAATTACAACTTTCTTTGGAGAGATGAACACAACTGTTTGATAAATACTATTCCGCATTGTACTTTAACTCCAACGAACCAGAATCGACCATTCTGTGAGTGCACCGCGGGTATGGGTTGTGTAGCGATGGCCTAGTGCAAAAACTCAATGAATCAAGAAGAAGCGGACACTGGACATTACCTGAAGTGTGCGAATCCCAGAATCAGCAGAATAGCTCGAGGCAGATATGCTCCAGATATGCGCGTTTGGGCGATTTTTTTTGTCACATATATTCCAAGCGCGATGAAGCTCACGGGATTCTGCTCGGGGAACCCATGGGTTTACTCTCGGTCCTCCGCGGGAACGGAATCTGCATCCAGCACGGGGAACACGGCGATTAAAACGGGAATCTTAAAGATGGACCTGCACTAAAGTCAGTTCACGGAGTAAATCAGAGGATCTGTCTGGTATTCCTGGAGAAAAGAAGCACGATCACCTCCTCCCTCTCTCCCTCTCTCTCTCTCTCTCTCTCTCTCTCTCTCTCTCTCTCTCTCTCTCTCTCTCTCTCTCTCTCTCTCTCTCTCTCTCTCTCTCTCTCTCTCTCCTCTCTCTCTCTCTCTCTCTCTCTCTCTCTCTCTCTCTCTGTTTCTCTAATGGTCAAACCCCGTGCGTTACACTGGGAAACGGAAGCCCTGGGATGAACACGTAGTGTGTGTGCGCGTCTGCAATGCCGTGACAATATCGGTCCACCCACAGTCGGGTTGAACTGCCACACACACACACACACACACACACACACACACACTCCTCATCTGCATGTGCTCTTCTCTCAGGAGACGTTATTAAATAAGTTCGCATCTCATCTTGTTATTATCTCGTCGGATCAATTTTGTTTTATTAAACAGGCCTATAAAATATTTTATGCATTTTTTTAATCAATGCAATTTACTTGCGTCAATTCTCGCTTTCCCTGGGATTCGAACCCACGGCCATTGCTCGCGCATGCTCAGGAATGCGTGATGTAAAATAGACAATATTGTGATGCATGTCTTAAACGGCGGAGGGCAAAACAGACACAGGGCGTGCAAACAAAAATAAAAAAAGAAAAAGAATATAACGCGGATTTGATCTTATTGGACGTTTGAAATGGGAAGTGTGCGTCATGGGCGCAGGATATGTGAGCGCGTTTTAACTTTTATTCAACCAGTCTGAGCTCATGAAATGCGTCTCTAGAGCACGCATTGTTTTATCCTGCATTTTATATGCGAAAATTAGGTTTTACGTGCACATGATACGCAGTTCCCAATGTGTTTACAGTGCTTCTCATATGCACGGAAAAACTAATTTTCGCGTGCAAATTGCACGATAAATACCATGCGTGCTAGGCCTGTATACGCATTTGATGAGATGTGAACTCGGATCTGTGGCCTGCATGAAGATTCAGAAACCAGCTGTGTGTTTAAATGACTTAAATGATGTCTTCTCAGGGGATAATATTGGATTGTTTCCTCAAAATATGTTGGACTTCAACGCAGATGGCGATACAGTCAGAATAGAAATTTACAGCCAATGTATTTTGGTTTTCTTTCGTTGACGTCAGTGCAGTTAAAATTCAAGATTGTCCACAAATGTAAATTGATAAGCTGCCTATAAAGTGATAATTCTCATTTCGGCTTCAATCCAAATCCTCATATTCGATCGATCTGCTAAAACGAAGCCTCGGACCCCTCAGGCCACCATAGCTCCTCGAGTCCCATATTAAAGCGTCAAATCTAGTCAGAAAACTTCCCTGAACCCAGGAACTAAATATAGCATCTGATAACCCCGTGCTTCGAAGACAACAGCGTGTGTAGGCTATCCCCGGTGTGTTAAAACCACAGGTCCGCGAATGAACAATAATCTGACCCGATTCTTGCGCCGACCCGTTCAGAACACCAGAACTCTCTTACAGTACATCAATGCAGTAAAACATCAGATCCAACTGAGCATGTGCATGCAGATATTGCATTCAGGGTCTATTACTGTAATGAGTGATATGCTATAATAACATCCCCGGTGTTTCAAACATGCATCGCAACGCTAATTTGTGGTATTAGTATTTTTTACACAAAAAATGGAAGAATAGAATTTATTGAAAATGCTTAAAAAACGGAAGATAAATAAAAAGAGATTGATATTATTTTCCTCTACAGTAATGTTCCCAAGTGTAAGTGTATTGACATAAACTGTTGTGATATTTCAACGCTTATCTGTCCATAATTGTGCAAGTTTGGGCAGTCATATTCAGTGCTTGCATAAAGAAAATAATAAAACTATGACAAATATCATGCATATGCATGAGAAAATATTGTCCAAAATCTTCTAAAATTGCTCTTGAAATCATCTCGTTCTTCAAAAGTTTATGAGGACGTAAATGAATATGAATCACAGTTCAGCCTGCGAGAAACATTAAGTTACTTTATAAAGAAATTGCATATTAATTATGCAATAATAGAGGCGAGAATTGTTCGAATATATATTTTAAACTCCCTAAATGTAATAATTTCGTGCCGTTTATAAGTTTCCCGCCCGGTTTTGCAGTTCAATCATTGAGTTTCTTTTTCAAAACAATAAGTAAATCGCTCAGGAGTTTCCAGTTGGTTTGGGATTTAAAATTAATTCTGTTCCGTGTTGGAAACCCCTCACGGGTTATTATCCGCCAAGCGTGCACAAAACAAGTGACCAATGTGCGAATGTAAATAGGGTTGACCACTGAGAGGCATAACGCTGAATCCACGACATTCAAATCGACTTTTTAAACTTTTCGAAAAGTTAAAAAATGAACTTGTGGCTGATCTGTTTCTGCAGAGCTGGTTTATGACATTATTCTAACTTTGGCTCTAACCATGATGACTCTGTTGCTTTTAGAGGAGATGAAACTGTTTGAACTTTCGGGAAACGGCTCATATATGATCTATAAAAAAGTTTAAACAAAGGCTTGTGAATTACACAACAAACAATGTACTTCATTATTATTAGTAGTGTGTATTGCCGATATTAGTGATTCACCCCGAGGCCTGAAGGCTGCATGCTCTCTGGTTAAAAGTGCACGATCGATTATTATTATTTTTTTTTTGGGCGCGTGATTCCTCGAGTGTGTTTGTGTTTGTGTGATTAATTGGATGGGATTTCAGCGCGAGTTAATAATATTAATTTAAATGAATTAAATTGATCAATACAAAATGCCTGGGGAGAACTCGCTCTGCTCATCTGATCCTCTTTCACCGTAAATTTATACATTTCGAAAACTTTGTTCATTTTGCACATAATTATGCGCATCTATCTATCTATCTATCTATCTATCTATCTATCTATCTATCTATCTATCTATCTATCTATCTATCTATCTATCTATCTATCTATCTATCTATCTCTATATGTGTGTGTATATATATATATATATATATATATATATATATATATATATAGTGAAGTTTTCCCTAACTCTTGATCCTAAAGCTGCTTTCTGGCGTTTGGTTTAGCGCTATACTTTATTTTGCTCAAGACAAGAAAAGGTCTCCGTGTGGGCCGTTTGTGTTTCCAAACTTCAGTGTGTTTTACTTTTACTTTTATGAATAGATTATAGTAAATCTTGCATTCATGAATTCACTGGATCTCCTGTAACCCGCTCACTGGTTCTCTGAGTAACAGAAGATGAACATCCGAACCGGACCGAGTCTCTGGCGCATTTCTGTTTCAGGCAAATACGGGAAACATTTATATTACAGTATTTACACAAAACACCACTACGAATGCGGCTATTTTTTTTAAAAATAATAATAATAATACTGTAATAATGAGGCTGTTATTATTATCATAAAAAAACGTAACTTTGATTTCTCCATGGCTACTATTTTTATTGGATGCACACATTACTGTTTACTGCATTCATAGACTTGTGTGAGTATCTATGAACAAACTTGCTATTTGAGTTTGTGTGTGTGTGTGTATGTGTGTGAGAGAGAGAGAGCGAGAGAGAGAGAGTATGAAAGAGAGCGAGAGAGAGAGATAGTGTGTGTGTGTGTGTGTGTGTGTGAGAGAGAGAGAGAGAAAGAGAGAGAGAGAGATAGTGTGTGTGTGTGTGTGTGAGAGAGAGAGAGAGAGAGAGAGAGAGATAGTGTGTGTGTGTGTGTGTGAGAGAGAGAGAGAGAGAGAGAGAGAGGGGGGGTATTGAATGAGTGGAGAAACAGTTGAGAGTTGCAAACTGCAGAATAAACGCCATGAATAATCATTAAAACAAAAATTATTAGCATAAAAATCATATTATATCATTTAATATCATAATGCATTGCCCTCCAGTAGCCTAAGGTGGAAGTGTCCATATTTCCAATTTTCCACATATAGAATATAGATAGCATTACAGATGATTATAACAGGTTCGGGCCCGTGACTGTGGATTACAGTAAATCATCAGGTCCAGACTGTTGCCTATATCATATTACTGTTATATTCCGTGTGTGTATACAGTGCTTCGCTTTATAGTTTAGCTGGTTGAGCAGCAGAAGCGACTCTACATCTGTCTCGGACACATGTCTCGGTTCTGTTCGGTTCTGCTGCTCTATAGGCGATAAGATTCCGGTCCCGCAACACCTCTCCCGCAGGGGCCCGGGGCCCGAGCTGACACACACTCCTGCGAACCATCACATAACACACACTGGACCCGCATTCCGCTTCTGGACCCTTCGCGGTTTTTCCATTCACTTCCAGAAGAGCCTCCGACCAACGAGTGCGCGTGCATGTGTGTGTGTGTGTGTGTGTGTGCGCGCGCGATCACGCTCAGTACAGCAGTTCGAGGCACACGCGTCTATTACAGTAAACACGTCAAACCTTTCAAAACTTTTAAAATATAATCTTTGACATTATCAATTTATCAGAAAGAAAAAAAATGCAATGAAAGTCCTAGAAAAAAAGCTTCTAGAAGGCTTTATGCAAAAAAACAAACAAACAAAAAAAAACATAAACATTTAATGTTTAATGGGTTATTTCAAAAATTTCCTCTGCTGGCTCTAACACACTGCCCTCTGCTGGCTGTAGCACACTGCCCTCTGCTGGATGCAACACACTGCCCTCTGCTGGCTGTAGCACACTGCCCTCTGCTGGCTGTAGCACACTGCCCTCTGCTGGATGCAACACACTGCCCTCTGCTGGCTCTAACACACTGCCCTCTGCTGGCTGCTGTAGCACACTGCCCTCTGCTGGCTGTAGTACACTGCCCTCTGCTGGATGCAACACACTGCCCTCTGCTGGCTGTAGCACACTGCCCTCTGCTGGATGCAACACACTGCCCTCTGCTGGCTGTAGCACACTGCCCTCTGCTGGCTGTAGCACACTGCCCTCTGCTGGCTGTAGCACACTGCCCTCTGCTGGATGCAACACACTGCCCTCTGCTGGCTGCTGTAGCACACTGCCCTCTGCTGGCTGCTGTAGCACACTGCCCTCTGCTGGCTCTAACACACTGCCCTCTGCTG